GTATGACAAGCTAAAAGAAATGTTAGGTTTTGTTAGGAAAGAATGATTTCACCAGACTAAGCTTCACCTGAAGACATCAATTGCCTTCTTCCCTTAATTTTTTAAAAAAATTTTTTATTGGACAGAGAAGAAATGAAAGGCTGGCCTGTCTGATTTGTGGAGACCCAGGTAGTTATGGCCCTTCTTTTGCTGTGGAATTCAGGACCAGGCCAAATGGAAGACAGCAGCACCAGAGGATCTTTGGAAGGAAGTTTATTACATTTATTGGCCCGGAAACCAGAGGTTCAAATAACTAGCCTCATTCTGAGATTACTAATTGCTGATATATGTCTGCAGAAGTACAAAGGGCAGATAGCATTACAGCCTATGGTTAGTTACACATGTCTTTGTCATTAATTGCTAGGCAGAATTTACCCTTAAGGGAACTAGTAACGTTACTCTCATGTTACATGGGGGAAGGATCAATCTTTGTCTGAGACTGGGCAGTAGTGTTCTTGAGGCAGTAACTCTCTGGGACTTAAAAGTAAGAAAAGCGTCAGTGTCTGGCTAAGCTGCACTTACCTTGCAGCTGGCTCGGGAAGCGCCATGCGCGCCATGGCTTGTTAAATTTTGCAGCTCTTTAATTATGAGAACCAACTGTGTGTTCCAGTCTCATTCTTGAATACTATTAGAAATACTAGTGTTAGGTATACAGGATTAAAATACTCATTAATTTAAAACAGCCCCTATAGTATCCTAGGACATTATAGGCAGAGTATGAATGTGCTAAGAATCATGACCATGTGCCATGTCCTGGTTGGTTTTGTCATTGGTGGTAGCTGTGGGCTTTCTAACAGGGACAAGGGTGAGAGAAATAGATGGTGACGCCGCCCCTGTAGTATGCAGAAGCAGTCTGGGGTCATATTACTGGCTTGGTGGCAAAGAGCAGAGGCATCTTCAGGCCCATCCTGACCTCCCATCACAGATCCACACTCACTGGATTACACAACCTGTGTAATCTTCTTCTAGGTAAATCTTGTCCTTTTTCATATATTATATCACCAACTATTCTTATAGCACTAGGAAACACAGCAGTTATGTAAGAAGACAAAGAAAATGAGAGAAATTTGCTTTTGTCCCCAGGCTTCTTTTGTAGCAACTACACTGACTGTAGCCAGATATTGTATGTGTGGTTGAAAAATATGGTGAGTGTTTTAAGTTTTTAAAAAATGCTGGTCCCGGCCCCAGGGCAGGCTGTGACAGGTGATTAAGACTGGGAGTGGTGGCACACACCTGTAATCCCAGCTGTTGGGAGGCTGTAAACAGGTGGATCACTATGAATCCAATCTAGTAGTGAGACCCTAAACACCCTGTAGACTCTTCCCTAAAATACAAAAGAAATAATTGCAGTAAAAGACAAGTTCCCATTAATTCCTCTTAGAATACTACTTGTTTGAAATATACTTAATTACCTCATTGTGGCTATGAGGTGGTTTTTTTGCAAAACTTTTCCTGAAAGTTCTAGAATTGCTTTTTTTTTTTTTTTAGAATTTTTGTTACAATCACTGTTAATTTTGATCACACCTTGTATGGCTTTTCTTTGTATACTCTTTTGTTATACTGCTTTTACTTCGCATCATGGTAGTACATGAGTTTTTCCTGTGTGCAGTAGTATACTTGTAAGTACCAGTTTCAGGAGCATAGTGTTCCATTGTTCTAAGCTTATTTCTCCCCAGTGAAATACTTATGTTGCCAAGGGTTATGTACTCGGTTTATAGGACAGGACTATATGCATTTGCTTCCCTATAATGTGTCATATTTATATCTGAACTCTACTTTTACTGGTACTTTGTACCAGTCTATTTTCGTAATTGAAATGTAAGCTCAGAAGGGAATGTAAATTTCTTCCAGAGATAATTCATGACATGATTGTGGCACACATGCTTGCAAGCGCTGGTATGATGTCAGTATTACTGGCACTAATGCCCAGTGGAATAAATTATTTAGCAGTCTTTTTGGACATAATTTTATTTACATTCTTTTAAAGTCTTGAACTCTACATTTTCTAATAGACTTTCATGGCATTAGAGTTGAAAGGAAGTGCTTCGTCTGACTTAACTGTAGTTGTGATGGATTTATTGGGAATTGTCTCTGACCAGCCAGGTGGTAGTTAACAAGTTATCCCAATTTTCTGCACCTCAGTTTCCACAGCTGTCCAATGGGCCTGAGCTAGAATGATTATTCTAGTGTATGTGCTGCCAAAGCAAGCACTGAGCTGAACAATGAGGCTTCTTTTATCTTAATTTTCTATGCAATCTATGTAGACTCCCACCAGCCCTACTGTCCCATTTCTATTTCTCCCATAGCCTGCACTGTCACTCTAGCTGGGCACTTCCAATGAGCCCCCTGCATTGCCATGTGATGTCTGTGAAGAATGCCGGACACTGGTGTGCACCTTGTTGAGGGCTTTCCAAGGCTGGTTCTGGACACAGAAATATTTCCCTCCAGCCCCCCCCGTGGACTAATCCCCGAATAATGTTGTCCTCTGACACATTTCCTGCTGTTTCTCTTGACCTTGGTGGTGGATTTTTTTTTTTTTTTTGGCTGGCTCAGGATGCCTTCAGGGCAGGTCTGGTAAGACATGAGGATATGGAGTTGGAACCACAGCATCCTGAGCCCCACTGCTGTTTAAACAGGCACTTAAACAACTGAGCTAATGGGCAGGCCTCCTCTCTTGAGCTTGGAACTATGAAGACTGCATAGAATGTTCAGTGGAGTCTTACAGACCACCCCAAAGAAGTAACCCCCCCCCACAAGGTGTGACTTGTCTTCCTAAATCGTTCTTCTAATAGCAGTTTAAGGACGTCATATTAAAACTGATGCCTTGCCTTGTGCCTGTTTTTCTCAACTGCAGTTCAGTGTTTAAAGTGCTGTTGGCCAAGGAGAACTGGAGTGCTTTTGATAGTTTCCATAAAGTTCAAGAGGAACAGTTATTTCATGGAAAAGTCTGGACTGGAAATTGGGAGAGCTGCTCCTGGCTCTGTAGCCTTGAGCCCTCTGGCTTCTCTGGGCCTCTGTCTCCTTACTTTAGAAGTTCGAATGGCATTTTTGGAGAAGACCCTTCTGTAGCTCAGTGGAGGAATTTCTCCTGCTGTAACAGTATTCTAAACACTGCAGGCAGCAGTGGTTACTATTACCTTTTGGGTTTTGGGACAGTGTGGCTGTGCTTGAATCATGCAGTCAGTTCTAACTAGGGGTGGCACCATGGGCTCTAGGGGCCTCCATTTTTTACTCAATGGTTACCCCATTGCTGACCACCTGATGGGACACAGTCACAGCTGCTACTGACTAGCTACCAGCTACAGGGAGCCTGCAGATGAGGCAGCACACTGGAGTTTGCACAAGCAAGAGAAGCAAAGCATAGATTTGAGCTGGTGGAGATCTCCTTCCCACTGGTTGATGTCCTCTTTGGGGCTTTAATACTTGCACACTGGCTATTTCCCCTCTCTTGTGGTAGTTTGTACTGCAGCCATAGAACAAAAGTGCAGGATGTAACACAGCAAGCAGGTAGTCAGGCTGGAGCTGGCAAGGGCAGTCAGTAGCCCCTTCACCACATGGCTTGACTTTGTGCCTCTCTTGCTGTCCACATGATCAGATTTCCACAGTGCTGCTGTCAAAAGCCCCGAGACCTCAGAAATGGACAGGATCAGGAAGCTCAGCATCTTGGGTTCTGGGGGCCTTTTCTATACAGCAGTGGTCAGCAGTGTGTGTTCTGTGGACCAATGCCATATAAGCACTATGCACAACTGACTTAGTGTGACTATGATGTCTCAGTGTAGAGCTGTCTGACACAGGGTTTTTTTTTTTTTTTTTTAAATGTATTTAGTTCAGGGTCTCACTACATAGATTGGATTCACAGTGATCCTCCAGTTTTCATCCTCCCAAGCACTGGGATTATAGGTGCATGCCACCACGCCCAGTCTCAATCACCATCTCAGCATACCCTGGGGGCAGGGCTGGCACAACATGTCAGGGATTGAACCCTGGTTGTTTTGTTCTGCCTAAGCAGGAGCTTTAGTCCGCTGAGCTATCTGGCTGGCCCTAAAACCTTGAGGATTCTTTTTTTTTTTTTTTTTTTTTGCTGGCTCAGGCTGCCTTAAGGGCAGGTATGGTGCAGCATGTGTCCTAGGGATCGTGACACAGGTTTTAACAAGCCCTCTATAGAGACCACATCCTTGCCCAAGTGTGTGGACTACTGTAGCAAGAGAGGAACCTGTGAATCCCAACTCAGGTTCTCATGGACCAGGAGCCACTAATACAGTACACCAAATTCAGCATAAAAGAATCCCTTTTTATTTTATCAGCCAAGAATAAGTCAGGCATGGTTGCCTACACCTGTTATCCCAGCACTCAAGCTGAGGCAGTGGATTTGCTATGAGTTCGAGCCCACCCTGAACTACATAGTGAGGCCTATCTCAAAAAGACAACAAAAAGAATAAAAATAACACTTTGTGGGATGTTTCTAAGAGATGAGCTAGGATAATATATGCTATTAGAAAAAAATGAAACAGTTATGCAGGAGATAATGCACATTTATAGAGAATGTGATATTTATTTGAATGCCATAGGATAGCTGCCTTCAAATGGATTAGGATTACAGAGGAGAGAAGGAAGGACTGTCTATAGATAGCAGTGATTATTTAGTGACCTATACTACACTGATCTTGGGGGAATATCTCAATATCGTGCTAAGACTAGAGAAGAAGAAACAATATTAACATTGCCAATCTCCAATTAGCTTGCTTTAAAATTCTGTATTTTTTTCCTTTTTTCTTTAAAAAAAGCTACAAGCAGTAATTATTTAGTGAACAAAAGATAATCTATCTGTACTACACTGTTCTTGGGGGGATATCTCAATATAGTGCTAAGACTAGGGAAGAAGAAACAAAACTAACATTGCTAATCTCCAATTAGCTTGTTTTAAAATTCTGTATTTTCCTTTTGTTTTTCTTAAAAAAAAAAAAAAAAAAAGCTAAAAGCAGTACACACACTGCAGTTCAGGATTTGTTTCCAAATACAGTAAGGTTCCAAACTCCATTATATGAAAAAAAATACTGAATCAAACATAATTGCAAATTGTAAAATGATATGCCAAAGATTCACCATCTAGGGATTAATGTTCTTAGTTTTTGTGGTCCTTTGGATGGAGACAGTCTTCTAAAATACTTGGTAAATAACAGTTCTTGAAACTGTGGTTCCTTTAAAGTAACAGGATATGACAGAAAGGTGACTGACAGAGGAGGAGGAGGTGATGAGTTTCTGCATTCTTAAGGGGACACAAAGAAGAGGCACACTGGCTTTGTGTGTATACTGGGTAAGACAGTCTTCTTGGCTGTCACAGGATTCCAGAATTTCTGTGCTTACTATTTCACATTTTTATTTCACTGTGGGATAGTCAGGGAGTTCTGGCTCTTAATTTTTCTGAATGTTGAAATCATGAAGCTCGATGGTTGATGAGGTATTTGACTAAGGGCATTCATTGAGTGGAACTCCAGGAAAGCAGTATTCCAGATGAGGGAAATCAAGCACACATCTTTTACATTTTTAGGTTACATTTTGAGGTATGAAATTGGTAGAAGCTCAAGAATACAGGAAATACTATACCAAATAAAGGTTATTAAGGAGTCACACTATCATGTAATTTGTGGATTTAATTTATAATCAAAAATAAAAGCAACTTACAGGAAACTATGACATTTTGTAATAAGAGAAATGGATAGTACACAATAGGATTTGGTCAACAAAAATTGCAGTTACAGTCTGCCATGCTGTTTATTTTAGCTTTTATAACAAAGCAAAGGTTTGATGAGAGTTTTACAACCACTGACTACACACACAGTCTTCAATTCCAGAAACTGTAATAACTTGGTGAGACATCTAACATGCATCCAAATGCTCTTTCTTAGTAACTAATTAAGACACTGAACTATTCTGTTCATAGTTTACAGTTATATACTCATCCTTTTACATTTTAAATATTAAGGTGCAAAGATCTTGGACAAAAGTCAAGAAAAAACCTCCATGGGCTTTTAACTAATGTACAGGCCATAATTTTTGGATAAGCTGTACATTTAAAGAAGTAATTCTCATTTGATTACATAAAATCAAATTTTTGCATCACCAACAGGCAGGTTACTGGGTTAGGTTAGGGTTCATACGTTTACTATGACAGGGACTATCTGCTCTAAAGCATAACTCATTGTATCTAAGATGTGGAAATTTTCATTTCTTACCAGTGAACAAAGAGTGGGCATTAAGGCTTTACAAGGTTTCCTTTGAAATAGTCTATTAAAAATATGAACAGGATAAACCAAATAGACCTCATGAAGTTGGCTTGGAGTATTTCTAAGGCTCTACATTTCTGATATGTTTCTGTATCCCTTTACAGATATGATGTTCATTTAAAATATTCTGAAGGTTAGTTAGGCTTGAAAGGGTATTATTCTGTGTTCAATCTCAAAAGAGACAGTTTTTCATAATTATGCTACTTCTATTTTAAGTATAATTCAAAACTCTTTTTTTTTTAAAAAGGAAAATACCAAAATACTCATTTATAAAGATTCCATACTTCTGAGTAAGTCAGCATTTGACACTGCTGAGGCAACATCTTAATTATTTCCCCATCATTCAAAAAATCTGAATTTGGTACAAATTTATTTTTTTTCAGAACTGAGGACTGAACTCAGGCCCCTGTGCTTGCCAGGGAAGCACTTATTCCACTGAGCCATCTCCCCGGCCCCCTTGATACAATTTTAAAATATGAACTGGGAACATCAAGCTTTATTCCATCTGGAGACTATGGGGAACCTCTCCACATGACAGAATAACCTTCATCAAATGTTTTCTTTTATGAAGTAGTAATATAACCACATACATGATTCAAACTAGGGCACTGAATAGATCTCTGAAGAGTTGAAGTATTTTAATCACATTGCTCTTTTACCTGGTCTGACTATGCATTTAGAAGTTACCCCTGATAGACTTCTTGAAAAGGTGCTGGAAGGTACAGTGTGCAAAGGAGTAATGGCTGTTGTGTCTTGTGGCAGTACTCTCAGAGGCTTGGAGAAGGTTCTCTTGCTTCTTCTAGCTTTGTAAGGATCCACTGTTGTGAAAAAACAAACTGACATTTACTTATTTTAGTGAACTTTCAATGAAAGAAAATGTGAGTAGAACTCTAGGAGTTTTTCAGCTTAGTTATGTGCATACTAATATCCAAAACACAAAATTCATAGTGCACAAGAGATTATTCACCTAAGCAGTTGAAATGGCTCTGGGCAATGTCAGTGAGTCTAACAGTGGTACTAATGTTTTTCTAAGGTTTTTAAATTTTTTCTTTTTATTTATTGGATGCAGAGTCTCACTATGCAGTTCAGGCTTGTAGTGATCCTCCTATCACACCTGGTTTTGGGGCCTGCACAGGATGTGTGGGGTTCCAGGGTCAGCAGGGTATGCCATATTGGGATCGAGCTCAGGTCCTTGTGCTTGGCAGGCAGCTGCTTAGACTGCTGAGCTATCTCCCCAGCCTAAGGTTTTTGAACTTGGAAATTCATCTTCAGAATATAAAAAGTGAAATGAACCACCCATACAGGAAAGGGTAATTTGGACGCTCAGCTGAACAACTGGCATAATCTGAAAAGTATTTGGGCAAAATTTCTTTCAACCTGTGCCAATTCTGTATCACAAACCACCTTGATTCCATATGTACAGTTCTATTGCTTGAATATGAATAACTGCATATAACTGTAGGTAATACAGCATTTTTGATGCTTTCATTTTCTATTCTAAAAGAATCTGGAATTACAAGAAGATAAATGTAATTAAAACCTTTCCACCAATAATGGCCATTATTATGGGGCCTGCACGACAGATCAAAATCTTGAGCATTCATGTGGGGTTATTCCGTTATAAAAAAGATTTAGAAGATGGAGGCTGAGAAGGATCCTCTAGTAACTATCTCTGCCCACCACACACACTAAGTACAAGATTTATGCCACCAAAGAACCTTAACAAAGCAAAGAAAATCACACGAGATACCATAGTGCCTGCTTTAGCATAACACAATGAGGTATACCAAAGAAGGCAGCACTGTGAACTGCCTGTGTTACCACCCCTGCCTGCAACTCTGAGCAGCTCAGCATAGATACTTCCCACTTGGAGGGGGAGAAGATTAAGGCTTGGTTTCAGACTTAAAACCTAATTCCACGAACTACTGTCAGGCCGGTAACCATGGTCTGAACTTTTGCAACTGCACTTAGCTTGGTGCACCTGTCACTCCTCCAAATGAAGGCAATGATAGAGTAAGACTCCACTTGTTGGGGAGTAGTGCACAAGCTGGCAGTTTAGTCTTGGAGTCCAGTATCAGACCTCCTTTGATAAGAACCAACAATGCTTAGACTCACAAATGTAGCATGTAGACCAGCCTTAGCATCAGGCAGAGAACTTCATGCTAATAGGACTAACTCATTTTGATCTTTGTCATTTTAAGCCTTAGCATGGCTTGGAGCACATGCATCTGCTTCCTGTACTATGCAAGTCCCTGTGGTTGTAAGATGCAGGAGCAACCCAACTTAGCCTGAGACTCTGGCCCAGGAACAGTCTCTACCATTTGTCCCTCCAAAGTGGCCATCACTGTACCCGTATTTGTAGCCGGAAATCCAAGCAGAGAGTTGGACTTGTGTGTTGGCTTACATCACTGACTCCTGTGGTTTGAGCTGTGGCACATCCCTAAGATTGTGCAGAGACTCAATGCAATGAGACTCAAGTGTGACTCAGCTAGAGTCAAGCCTGGGTCGCTAAGAGACTACCTTTGCCAACACCTCGCCAAACACCAGCAACACAGTACACAGCAAAAGCCCACTTGTGGGTAGAAGAGGACATTAAACCATGACTTCACTGGAACTTAGTGCTGACCTGGTGAAAACTAACATAGGCAGATTCTGACGGCCCCATCTCCTGGGCTTAAGTGATTGTCTCAACTCATCTAAGTAACTTGGAACCGTAAGCATGTGCCACTATGACCAGTTTAAAGCAATTAATAGTTCTAAAGAGACTAATAATAAAACTTTTAACACCCCATTTTCACCAATGAACAGATCATCTAGACAAATAGCTGAGTATGCTAAACCAAATGGACAGAAAAAGACATCTACAGCATCTGACAGCTGTTGAAAACAGTCTCTTCAGCACATGAAACATTTATAGGATAGATCATAAGACATACCACAAAATGGGTCTCAAAAATTTTTAAATAATTAAAAATCTATCAAATATCTTCTATCAGGCAGAATAACTAGAAGAAAAAATTTGACTATATAAATACATGGAAATTAAATTTGACTTGAAAAACCAGTGGATCAGAAAATAAATTGTTTGAAACAAATTAAAATGGAGACATACCCAAACCAATGGAATACTGTAAGAGAAGTACTAAGAGGAAAGTGTACAGCACCCAACTGTCACATCAGAAACTAAATTATCACTGCATCTCAAGGGACTAGAAAAACAAGAACAAGATTCAAAATTAGCTATATTTCCAGCAACATAGCTCAGCAGTCTAAAGTGCCTGCTTATGCAAGCACGCAGGGACTGCAGTTCAGCGGTTCAGTCCCTACCACCACATGCCACACCAGCCCTACCTTCAGGGTGGGCTGAGCCAGCCATACAAAAAAGAAAAAAATTAGCTCAGAAAACAAAAATAAAATACTTTAAAAAATAGAAATAAACAATTACATATTTTTACCCAGAAATTTAGAAATCTTGTACTATGAATAACCACTACAAAGACAATAATATGCAATGTATTATTGAAACTGTCCCACTAATCGGTTTTGAAACTGTCTCCTTGCTATTTGTTTCTCAATAAAATTAATTAAAAAATTAGTCCAAAGAATAGGGCTGGCCAAATAGCTCAGTGGATTGAAGCGACTGCAAGCAGGAGCAGGGGTGAGGGGTTCAATAACCTGGCCTGCCATGCGGGCCCTGCCCCTGGGGCATGTTGAGACAGCAATTGAGACAGGGCTTGGTATGCCTCTGTAATCCCAGCTCTGGGGAGGCTGCGAACAGGTGGATCACTATGATTCTGATCTAGTAGTGAGAACCTGAACACCCTGTAGACCCTTCCCTAAAATAAAAATTAAAAAACCCAAACATTACTACAAGCAAAGAAAATTATGAAGATCTGAGAAGTAAATAAAATGGACATTAAAAAATAGCTAAAAGATTGGTAAAACAAAAGAATGATCAAACGAAATAAAGAAGGCTGCTAGATACTGGTTAGAGGAAAAATGCAAGAGGAGGAGATCGCACTCAAATATGTACACACCCAGCTATATAAGAAAAATCTTAATGGACATGAAAAATTTAATATCTAATACCACAACCTTAACAGGAGACCTTAACACCCCCCCTTATCCTAAAAGATAGGTCAAACAGACAAAAAATTAGCAAAGAACTAGCAGAACTGAACCAGAGCTTGGAACAAATGGACTTAGTGGATATATACACAGTGTTGAACCCAACCACAGCTGAATACACATTTTTTTCAGCTGCACATGGGTCATTTTTTAAAACAGACCACATACTATTCCATAGGTCATGCTTAACTAAATGCAAAAAACCAAATTATTCCATGCATATTATCTGACCACAGAAAGTGCAGTGAAACTGAAAATAAATGAGACAAGAAAACAGAAAAACCACACAAATACATGGAAATTAAACAACAAATTCAACAATATCTACAATTCAATGAAAATTCAAGCACTATTTCTCGCAACTTATGGGATGTGATGAAAGCAGTTCTCAGAGGGAAATTCATAGCTGTGAACTCACACTTTAGGAAAACAGAACAGGAACAAATAAACACCTTAATGTTGCACCTCCAGCATCTAGAAAAGGAAGAGCAAACCAAACCCAGAGCCCAAAGACAAGTCATAAAGATTAGAGCAGAAATTAATTCAATGGAGATGAAGAAAACAGTTCAAACAATTAATGAGCCAAAAAGCTGGTTCTTTGACAGATTAAAACTGATAAGCCCCGAGCTAACCTCATCACAAAGAGGAAAGAAAAAATTCAAATAGAAGCAATAAGGAATGAAAAGAGTGCAATTACCACAAACTGAGTGGAAATTCAGATTATCAAGAGCTGCTTTGAGAATCTTTACTCTCACAGAATAGAAGACACACACGAAATGGACAGATTCCCAGAATGGTACAAATTACCAAAACTAAATCAAGAAGATATAACAACTCTTAATAACCCAATAATAGCCAGTGAAATACGGATCATAATAAAAAGCCTACTGACAAAAGTCCAGGTCCTGATGGATTCACAGCTGAATTTTGCAAAAACTTTATGGAAGTTATAATCCCTATACTCCTCAAATTTCTTTAGTGAAATTGAAAAGGAAGCAATCCTCCCAAAATAGTTCCTGGAGGCAAGTATTATACTGATACCAAAACCAGAGAAACATACAACTGGAAAAGAGAACTACAGGCCAATCTCCCTCATGAATTAAGAAGCAAAAATCCTCAATAAAATCCTAGCAAACAGAATACAGCAAATCATCAAGAAGATTATACACCATGACCAGGTAGGATTCATCCCAGGGATGCAAGGATGGTTCAATGCACACTAATATATAAATGTAATATACTGTCTCAATAGAGCCAAATCTAAAAACCACATGATCATCTCAATTGATGCAGAAAAGGCTTTTGACAAAGTTCACTCATTCATGTTCAAAGTCCTACAGAAAATTAGAATAAATGGCCTCTACTTCAAGCTGATAAAAAGCCATCTATGTCAACCCAACTGCTAACATAATTCTAAATGGGGAAAAACTGAAATCTTTTACTTTGAGATCTAGTACAAGACAAGGATGTTCTTTATCACTGACTCCTATTCAATATAGTACTGGGAAAGTTAGCTAGAGCCATTAGACAAGAGAGAGACAAAAAGAATAAGAATAGGTAAAGAAGAAGTTAAACTATCATTTGCAGATGACATGATATTTTACTTGGAAGACCCAAACAACTCCACCAAGAAGCTACTAGAATTGATGCACAAATACAGTAGCATAGCAGGATACAAAATCAGTACCCA